ATGTGACAGCCCAGTGCACTGCACTGGCAGGGGGATTTACAACCCAAATCCTCCTCTGTTTGGTTTCATGCTGTTCCTCCTCCTTCATCCCTGCCTGCTCTCTCACACCCTCTCCAGTATTTACACCCAGGACTTTAACCTCTCCCTGGGGCTGAGCCAAAGCCTGGCCAAGCCAGGGAAAGACACTCCACTGACTTCAGGGAATATCAGAGCCAGTTCTTGGCCCTTGTGGAAATAAGCTGTGCTTACTGGGTCGCTTTTAATATCCCATCTTAAATCACATCTTCCAGCACTTCATCCTTTTTGGCTTCTATTTATTGACTTCCCAGCAAATGCTTTAAATCTGTCTTGCTTTACTGCCCAGATGTGCTGCTCTGGCCCCTGGCACATCAGAACTATGCTGCCAGCCACCGCTGTGCTGTCCTACCACCTCCCTGGATTGCAGAAACCCCTCCACAACGTGATGGTTGCATCTCCCTTCCCTGCACGGAATAGCTCAGATGCTGTAGCACAGGCCTGCCCCCATCATTCCTTGCTTTAAATCTGTCTTGCTTTACTGCCCAGATGTGCTGCTCTGGCCCCTGGCACATCAGAACTATGCTGCCAGCCACCGCTGTGCTGTCCTACCACCTCCCTGGATTGCAGAAACCCCTCCACAACGTGATGGTTGCATCTCCCTTCCCTGCACGGAATAGCTCAGATGCTGTAGCACAGGCCTGCCCCCATCATTCCTCCCCCTGCCAAGTCCCCCCTTGGTGTTTCCCACATGTGCAGCCTGTGGTGTCCCTCTAGGTCCAGCCTCTGTACACTCACTGGTCCCTTTTCTGGGTCCCTAAGGACAGTGCTAGCAATGCAGCCCTGTTTCTGATGGCACAAGTGCTCTCAGACTCTGCTGAGAAACACCAGTAGGTGACAATCCTGCTCCTCCTGCAGCTCGGGGATACCTGGGCTGGCACCCATCACCCTGGCTGCTCTCAAACTGCTTGACCACTCATGCATTGTGGCAGCTGGTGGGGTTCCTGCCCTTTGCCACCGCTGGATCCCTGCCTGTGCCCAGCGAGGAGCTGCAAGGCACGGCTCCCTCTCCCAGGAGAGCTGGGAGTCAGCAAAGGTAATTGCCCAGGACAAGTTCACAGGGTTTGGGGGATTTCCAAGCAAAGTTGAATCCACTTTGTTCTCTGTTTTCCTCTGTATCCTGGAGAGCATGTCTGCAGTCACCAGAGCCATCCGACCTTTCTTATCCCACTAGCAAGTCTGAGCTGAAGAAAAATAAAATACCTGACATCCCCAAGGGGAAGTATGTTTTCCAAGCCTCAAGTAAAGGAGCATTTTCAGCTCACATAGGCCTCCCAAAAATAAATGCAAAAATGCACCAAGGATTAGAGGCCAGAGCTGCCTTCTCTGACCAAGCAAAGTGCCACTCTGCTGTGTCAGTGCCCTGGTCGTCTCACCAACCCAGCAGCACAGGGATAGCCCTTACCCCTCCAAACGCACACAGATAACCTCACATGGGATTCGAAAGCCCTGCTGTATCCTTCACCTTCTGGGTCTTAACACCCCCCCTATGGGTTCCCACTGTGCCTGCCGCAAGGGGTGCCTAGCCACTCTGGCACATCAGGGTGGGGGGACAATGAAGAGACATCACCCACCTGGAGCCTGAGCAGCTGGGTTGTCCCCTTTAGGGTAGCAGGCAGCTGTGATGGATGCTGGCTTCCCAGCACTCCCTTGTGCAGCAGAGCTGAATTTTGTCTATTTTTAATTTCATTGCATTCCCCCAATGAAACTCTCATGGGGAAAAGAAAATGTAGGCAAAAAAAAAAAAGAAAGGAGGAGGGAAAAAAGCCAGCCCCAAACCAAAATAAATTCTTGCATTTGATGGCTGCCACCTGGGAGCAGGCAGCAGCAAGGACACTGTACCTGCCCTGCACCCAGAACTAAGCCAGGTACCAACCATTAGGGCATCCCCTCCCATCCCTGCCACCCCAAATGGACTTCCTATCTCAAGACCACTGGCTTAACTGGTCCCAGCAGCCCTGCATCAGCTCCTTCCCATCCCACTCTGGCCTGGTGGTGCCTGGCTTCTCCCTACAGCAAGCATCCTACCCAAAGTTGCTGGGGAGGGAGCCTGCACTTGGCCTGGGGAGAGACCTTTAACAGGGTTTGTTGTGGTAGGATGAGGGGTAATGGTTTTAAACTAGACAAGGGGAGATGCAGGCTGGACATGAGGAACAAATTCTTTACAGTGAGGGTGGTAAAATACTGGCACAGGTTGCCCAGAGAGGTGGTAGATGTGCCATCCCTGAAGACATTCAAGGCCAGGCTGGATGTGGTTCCTGTGCAGTCCTTCAGGGAAACTCCCTGCTGCAGGGGATTGCCACAGGCTAGCAAAAAGGCTGTCATATTAAGATCATTAATTAATGATGGTAAATAATTGATTGCAGCAAGAGCTGGATTTGTCCAAGGGCTTCTCCAGCAGCTGTGTCAGGTCCCAGATGACAGATGGGGACCCCCACCCCACCACCATTGCTGTTACATGGAGCAAATTTGGCAAAGTTTGGCTGCAAGAGCCCAGCTCTGCTGCAGGTCAGGGAAGTAGCCGGCAGAGACACCACTCTGATTCACACAGCAGCCTTGATCCCTAAAGCATCAGAAGGGTCATGTCTCTATAGAAACTCCACTAAAACACAAACACACACAGCCTATTCCCTGGCCCAGGAACCCACTGCTGAGCCCTCTGTGCCTGGGAAAAGGCTGCATGCTGCTGGGATCAGTGCTGGGAGAGGGAATACCAGCAGCTCCTGCACCCACTGCTCTGAGCCTGGGGGATGCCGCTGTAGCTGAATGCTCCCTGCAGGCACGATGCATGGGCAGAGCCTGTGTTCCTGTTCTGCAGTGCCTGCTGTGTTTCCTAACCATGCCTGGGCGAGAAGCAAGGCCAGGTGCTGTGGCTAGTGCCCACCACCCCTCTTCTGCACAGTGATGGAGCAGCTCCAGGCCTGAGGCTGCTACAAGAAAGACATTATGGATGGGCATCAGGTCCCTGTTTCCCCAGAAAACAGTGGAGTGCCTGCATCCCCAAGGGGCACAGCCAGAGCAATGGGCTTTTGCATGAACCTGCCAGAGGGGACAAACCAGAGCAGCGGTTCCCAGAGCCGATGTTTGCCTTGGCAGCCCCAGCCTCTGTGCCTTGTTTTCCAGACACTGAACTCCTAGGGGGAACAGCTGGATGTCTAAAACCAGGCCTGGCAGCAGGGCTGGTATCTGGCTGGGGACATGGCAGCTCCCACAGGTTAGGGGGGGTGCCTCATACCTCCACACTGCATTCCTACCCCTCTACCTCCAGGCTGGTCTTTCCCACTGACAGCCCTGCTCAGGCACTGCGCCTGCTCAGCAAACCCAGTCTGGGGTAACAGTGGCACCTGCTACGTCACATCCCTCCATTAGTTTTCCACCCTGCAAAGCCAGGGAGTATCCCATCCCAGCCACACTGCCAGCACAGCCTCCTACAAGCCCATCCTACTCACAGCCCAGAGAGCAGCTATGGGTTGTGCTGCACCAAGAGCAGTCTGGCCTGGGCAGCTTGGGCTTGGCTGGGGCTAGAGCTGCTCTGCCTTGCCCCAGGCGGGTCCCTGCACCATCCCAGGACCAGAGGGATGCTGTGTGGCAGGGGCAGCCTCCCCCCCTCCCCCCCACTGGTTTT